TTTTGATTATATGTTATTCCATAAGTTTCGATACCATATTTTTCTATATTATATCTTCTAAATTGACATTCATAATAGGCCTTAAACTTATTAAATAAAATAATTACCATGATAGAATCATACAATATGTTAAAAAATTATTACTCAATTTTTTACCTCGTTTAAAAAATCTAATGAAACATTTTGAGTTCCATTCAAACTTTTGAGAGCAACTATAGTGGAGTTTTCACGTGATGGTACTAAATCTTTGTTTATAGGTTTATAATTTCGTTTACCATCAATCCAAGTTGCAGAATAAACGGTACTAAAACCACCGATACCAATTTTTTGAATATTTTTTAATCTATCAAAAGGTATCCATTCAATTACTTTGTGGTAATATTCCGAATTTATTTGTGCATCTTTTATAAATTCGTCTATTTTGACATTTCCACTATTAAATTTTCGACTTATATAAAGATCACACGAATGGCAAAATTTAACACCAGTATTATACTTCTTACAATTTGGACAAATTCCAAATCTTATGGAAATTTCTTTATAGCTAGTTAGTATTTCTGCGTTATTTGAGTCAACTTCTAAATATTTATTGTAATCAGCGAGTGATTCTTCATATCTGCCCATATTGTGATATGTTAATCCACGATTATTCAATGTATTTGCATTATTTGGACTGATTTCTAAAGATTTATTAAAATCAGTAAGTGATTCTTCATATCTGCCCATATCTTTATATGTTAATCCACGACAATTCAATGTCTTTACATTATTTGAACTGATTTCTAAAGATTTATTGTAATCAGCAAGTGATTCTTCATATCTGCCCATATTGCGATATGTTAATCCACGATTACTCAATGTTATATCATCATTTGGACGGATTTCTAAAGATTTGTTAAAATCAGCGAGTGATTCTTCATACCTGCCCATATATTGATATGTTAATCCACGATTATTCAATGTTCTAGCATCATTTGGACGGATTTCTAAAGATTTGTTAAAATCAGCGAGTGATTCTTCATATCTGCCCATATATCGATATGTTAATCCACGACTATTCAATGTATTTGCATTATTTGGACGGATTTCTAAAGATTTATTAAAATCAACAAGTGATTCTTCATATCTGCCCATATATTGATATGTTAATCCACGACTATTCAATGTTCTAGCATCATTTGGACTGATTTCTAAAGATTTGTTAAAATCAGCGAGTGATTCTTCATACCTGCCCATATATTGATATGTTAATCCACGATTATTCAATGTTCTAGCATCATTTGGACGGATTTCTAAAGATTTGTTAAAATCAGCGAGTGATTCTTCATATCTGCCCATATTGCGATATGTTAATCCACGATTATTCAATGTTCTAGCATCATTTGGACGGATTTCTAAAAATTTGTTAAAATCAGCGAGTGATTCTTCATATTTGCCCATATATTGATATGTTAATCCACGATTATTCAATGTTCTAGCATCATTTGGACGGATTTCTAAAGATTTATTGTAATCAACAAGTGATTCTTCATATCTGCCCATATATTGATATGAAGATCCACGATTATTCAATGCTATAGCATTATTTGGACTGATTTCTAAAGATTTGTTAAAATCAGCAAGTGATTCTTCATATCTGCCCATATTTTGATATGTTATTCCACGATTATTCAATGTTCTAGCATTATTTGGACGGATTTCTAAAGATTTGTTAAAATCGGCGAGTGATTCTTCATATCTGCCCATATTGCGATATGTTAATCCACGATTATTCAATGTTATATTATCATTTGGACTGATTTCCAAAGATTTGTTAAAATCAGCGAACGATTCTTCATATCTGTCCATATTGCGATATGTTAATCCACGATTATTCAATGTTATAGCGTTGTTTGGACTAATTTCCAAAGATTTGTTAAAATCAGCGAGTGATTCTTCATATCTGCTCATATTGCGATATGTTATTCCACGATTACCCAATGTTATAGCATTATTTGGATTGATTTCTAAAGATTTGTTAAAATCAGCGAGTGATTCTTCATATCTGCTCATATTACGATATGTTCTTCCACGATTATTCAATGTATTTGCATCATTTGGATTGATTTCTAAAGATTTATTATAATTATCAAGTAATTCTTCATGTCTGTTCGTAATTGATATATAAAGTTATGATTAGTCACAGTTATGGAATTAAGTATAAGAAGGTAAACCTTGTTTATTCAAAAGTATAACATACAGTATCCATGAAATGCTCAGATTTTATTTCCAGAGAAATAATCAAAATATGTTTATTGATTATTACCTGGAAAAGTAAACATTTTATTACATTAAATGTTTACACATTTTAATCAAAGTTCGTTCAAATACATCAGAAAGTTTAATCTAGTTAAAAACGTTAAATCAATGGATTTTCCAAAATAAAGATATCAGTGGTTTATTATAAAACAACAAGATTATAAAATGATAGTTTTATAACAATGAATTTATATTATGAATGAAGTAGTTGCATTCTTTAAATCTTAGTATAGATTATTCAAGAATGGAAACAATATATTCGTGGTACTGTATGTATAATCTGTAACTTTGATTTAAAATTTTATCCATCAGCCTTAAAAACTTTCTGTGGTTAAGTCTGATATATAAAATTTTGATTTCGTAATTTACATGAAAGAACCCTTATAAAATACTTGCTTATTTATAGTTCCCATTATTTGTGAGATAATTTGTAAATTAAAATTTGTTATTACTGAAATACTGTATTATCGACATATCGATATCGATATATAAATTACAAACGGTAGCTTCATGGAAAATCACGGGTTATAACATTCATATGATTGGCTAATTTATGTAGATCCAAGCATGATTATTGACCAATC